AAAATGTCCATCGATTTCCACTATTACTTATTAGAACTCCATTGTTCGTCGTGCAGTAATTGGCTTTCCCGTAAAATTCCAAAGCTCAATTCAGAATTCTGTTTATTACTTATTAGAGGTAGGGGGTAAACGAGCCGAATAGTATTATTGAACTCAATTCAAACTTGAAAACTATAAGAATAAACTCGACTCAACTTAAAAATTTACGAGCTAAAAATTATCAAGTTCAGCTCGAGCTCAAAATATATTATTAAAACTCGAAAAGACTCGAACTTAAAAAATTTTTAAGAACTCGATTAAAGCTCGAGACTCGAGCTTAATTAAAGCTCGATTTTGATCTCGATTGATTTTATTTTCATTTGTTCAAACACATCCCTTTTATACACTAAACTTTATCATTTATTTTCCAAAAACCATGGATGTGGGATATTAACTCAAATTACCAACTCAAGTTCAACGCTTTGGAGCATCTGAAGGAAAGGCATTTTATCTTTCAAGTTAAATATCGTATTCTGTGCATCTTCTTCTTCCTCCTCTCCTTCTCTCCCGTGAGTTAATAAATCCTGGTTCCAAACATTCCACTTCCAATTGATCTCCCATGAACTACAATAATGCCTCAATACCATTTAAAAAGAAGTTCCCTGTTCAGAATCCTGATAGATTACCAAAAGAAAGATCTATCTCCATAACACTTCTAAGATTAGCAACTCCGGTCAAATGATTTCTACTCAAATCCAACTTCAGAAGGTGTTCCAAAGCACCAAGTGATGAAGGAATAGAGCCATTAATTTCACCGTTAGAAAGGTCCAGCGTTTCTAAATTACCAATTCGAGAGAGCTCAACTGCTATAGATCCATTGATATTGTTAGAGGAGAGATTTCCCCATCAAGATTCAAGTCTGATAGATTAAGTGCGATGACATTGAGGGTAACATTGTCGCGAGTGACCCCTCGCCAAACACAATAATCTGAAGGTGTGTCCAGTCATATAGAACCTTGTCCACATCCCCAACGACTTCTTTATCTCCAACAGTGTTGTTCCATCTTCAGAATACCCCAAACCCAAATTCAAACAGAAGAGAGAAACCAAGAAGACAAACGCCAAACTAAATGCCATTGCCATTGCCCAACATTCTTAGCAAGAAGAAACCTTTGGGTTTTTTTTTTCTTCCGAAGAAGGGAAAAGAGGGGGAAGCGGTGCCGCGCGGGTTTTAAAATAAAAGTTAGGGTTGGTTTGTGCCATAAAGAAAAATGGGTTAACTGTAGCCTTAGTACCTAAAGTCCCTAAGATATCCGAAGTTGACTTCAACTTTAACCTTATTTAAGAATTGATCACTGAACAAAAATTAGAAATTTAAGTATATTTCCCCAAATTTTAGAGTTTTCAATTTGGGGTGTTGCTAGCTAAATTAAGATACGAGAAAATATTATCATATTCATAATGACGAGTATATTAGAGTATAATAAATGTAATTCTTCTATGTAATGTGTTTATTATGTATATAATTCGTCGTAATGTCGATCAAGTTTTAAGAAATAAAATATTATATGAAATGTATTTCAAGTGTATTTTTTAAAATATTAATAATTTTGTAACAAAAGAAAATGTTGTTCTCCATAAAGGTTTTGAGTTTAAATAAATGTATCTGTAGGATGTGTGAGCATTGTTAATTGATTAAGGAAATTTTAAACATATATTACTTTATAACTATACCAAATTCTACTTCCATTCTAAAACGCTTTAATTGTTTATAATTATATATATCAAAATCCTATCATGTATTTACCTCGACTATTCATAAGATAAACTCGTAATTTTTCATTAAAAAATTGGTGATTGTATGATATTGATGTTAACATGTTAACTAGGGTATGCTAAAATATGATCCCATCGTTTTAGTTATATTTGTATATCAAATTTCCGTTTACATTATATTGTCGAGTCAGTTCTTGAAATATTATGTTGGTGAGTCAATGCTTGAAAGCAATGACGATGTCAATAGTCATCATTAAGATATGATAAAATCATGTCTCAATCAACAAGTTGTGTATATTTATTTTGCATGTTGATATGTTTATATATAAGTATGCAAATGATTTATTTAGGAGTCACATAACATCATTTTGTATAATTTGTATGTTACCTTCATGTGCATAACTTAACCCTTATCACATAATCGAATTTAGGGTTTAGGGTTTAGAGTCTAATATTTATGCTTTAAGGTTTAGGGTTAATTACAAATACATTAATTAATCGACTTGGTAAATGCATTACAATATGGTTTAGTTCTATTATAGAATTTTTAATATATTTTTAAAATTTTATAATTATCAATAATGTATTTTTTATAATGTAATTTTAAAAAATCTAAAATTATAATATAACATTTTTTTCGAGCTGCTCACGAGCTTTTCGAGTCGAATATCTAGTAGCTCGTTTCAGCTCATTAAGAACTCGAGTCAAGCTCGAGCTCGACTCGAGTCCATTCGATCCGAGTATTTATCGAGGCTTGATCGAGTCTATCTCGAGTAACTCGCGATCTGTCTCGTCTCATTTACAGCCCTAATTAGAGCATTAAATTTATTAAATTAAAGGGTAAACTACTGAGTTGATCACTTTTGTTTTAATTTTTTAAATGCATGATCATTCGATTCAAAAAATATAATATATGATCACTTTCATTTCATTTTAATTAAGATATGATAACTGGGACGTTAGCTGCTGTGAGTTTAATGATGTGACAATTTAAAAAAAGGTTTAATTTTTATTTGAACCCTTAAACTTTAAATAAATTACTAATCACGAGTCTTTTTGTAAACCTAAAATAGTTCAGAGAGAATATAAATTTACCCTTTTCTCCTTATGTTATCTTCCCCAACCCTATCTTCTCCGCCGCTTCCCCTCTATATCACTGCTTCATCTCATCCGGAATTGGTCCATTCAATGAATTTTGATATTGTACAAGGGTAATCACAATTATGAAATATGTTTATAATCTTAAGGACAACAAAAACAAGAGAAACATGGATACCACCTCTTTTCCCCAGTCGGTTTTATCTTCATAGCTAACATGGATAGCTTCTCTAAGCTAAGATGCAAGGCTAGCACCCAGGGTTTTAAATCGCGGTCGCGGTCGCGTTTTCGGTTATTTCGGATTTACCGTGATTGCGGCCGTCGCGGGCGCTATTACGGTCGTCGCGGACGCTATTGCGGCCGTCGCGGGTAACTCGGACAGCGGCGAAACCACTATATCACGGACGAAATCACGGTCGCGGACCGTTTTTTGAAACCCTGCTAGCACCTTCGACTGTTTCACCATTTTCTTGCAAGCTTGGTGCAATGAAAACAGGGGATTGGCCAAACTTCTCCAGTTCTGTTTCATTTCCGGCGTTCGGTTTATTGCGATTATAAGAATAACACATTCTTCACAGTGACGGATCTATAAATTAAAAAATAGAGTCCAAAATTTTGATATCATATTATAAAAAATTTGGGTATGTAATTTTTTTTTTCTATTTCTATTAACAAATTAAACTAAATTTAACACTTCTCTCAAAATAATGAGTGTGCAATAGCTCCCTAGGAGCCAAGGGAGCCATTGCACACCCGCCCCTGCTTCTTCATCCGTTTGTTTAGTACGTCTTGTCTGAATTTCTGCATTTGGTAATTTAATAAGCTTCTTGTTGTTGTTGTTATTCCTTCTTAAGAACAAACAACCACAACACCATTTCTGCCAACAGTTGCATGTTCTTAACGGTTGCTTCTTTGTTTTCGGAGCATCATAGCCGTACAGTGCTAGTCTTCTCAATACACATCCAATACCAGTATACATAGGACCTTGGATGCCATCCAAAACTTTTATATTAACCTGAAATGGAAGATTTAGTCATTATATTTCAGCAAAGATCAACATTAACAAAGCAAGATATGGTGCATTTGTGAGAACTGACGAGACTGTTAGTCCCTTAATATTCATGGCTCCGGCCTTTTTATGGTGATCCAATCGAGGCAATTCATTTCCATCCGTGTCGTGTTTTCCACCTTGTCCGAGAAAAACCTGAATCATCCCAGAATGATCGTAGCTATTGTTCCCAGGCCAAGGATTTCCGTACTGCAGAATCCATCCATCTTTTGGAGCCTTTTGAGCCTTGGAAACCAACGTGTTAATTCAAATTTTAAACTCTTCGTACTCTCTCTGCACTCACAGATCGGCATCGGGTTAACCGAGCGATTACTGGTCGTTTAAATCTGTATAATATGTTGGTTTAAGTAATAAGAAAGGGAAGTATTCAGTGACACACTGACTCATCCGGATGAGATGGAGCAGTGGTCTAGAGGGGAAGGGGGAGAAGAAAACATAGGGAAAAAGGGTAAATTAATATATTATCCCTGAACTATTTTGGGTTTATAAAAAGACCCATAATTAGTAATTTATCTAAAGTTTAAGAGTTCAAATAAAAATTAAACCCCTTTTACTAACATATCACGTCATCCAACTCACGGCAGTTAACGTCTCAGTGACCACATCTTAATTAAAACGAAACGAAAATAACCATATATTATATTTTTTTGAATTGAGAGACCATGCATTTAGAAAATTGAAACAAAATTGACAAACTCTATAGTTTACCTTAAATTAAAGTTGTAATTAAATTGATAGAATATATAAATATTAAAGGTTAAATATGTAATTATATCAATTTTTTTAACCATAACATCAGCTTTTTTCATTAAAGTGTTATGATAATAAAATGATCTAATCTGGTTGATAGAATTAAAATGTCATTATAGTTAAGTGGTAACGATGTAATTTACCGTAATTGTTTTTACCCCAACTTCCTCCCTCAGCTGAAGACTTGTATAAAACAAACTCGGAAAAAACGACTTATAACAAAGGAAGTCAAGCTCAAGCATCACAGTCGAGTGGATCATCCGTAACTTTCTCCTCTCTCTACTTTTACCCCGTCGTCGTCTATTCTCAATTGTTTGCTTTGTTAACAATGGCGGAAGCGCTTGTTTCTGGAGTCTTTGAACGACTAACCTCGATCAGCCTTCAAGTAGCTGAAACCGGGGTGAGACTCGTTGTTGGTGTTAACGAAGAAGTCGAGAAGATCGGCTCCACTCTGCGCACCATCCGAGCTGTCCTCGCAGACACAGAGAAAAGACAAGTGAAGGAGCAAGCTGTTAAGCTTTGGCTTGATAAGCTTCAAAACGTATCTTATGATATTGAAGACGCTTTGGATGAATGGAGCACTGCCATTCTCAAATCACAAATCGAGGATTCTTCTTTTTCTTCAACTTTTCCGGTAAGATCTCTTCAACCCTCCGGAATTTCTGTTCCACGACTTGTTGGGCGTCGTACAACTGCTGTCATGATTAAAGAACTAAACGAAAGGCTTCAAGTCATTGCAAAAGAGATTAATGATTTTTCTTTCATTGTAAATCTAACTCGGAACAATGAATTAGAGCCTGAAAGAACCAAAACCACTTGGTTTATTGATGTTTCTGAAATACGTGGTCGAGACCAGGGCAAAAACACCATTGTTAGGATGTTGTTAAATGAAATCAGTGGTGAAGAAAGGGGAATTCCTCTGATCTCCATTGTGGGGATGGGAGGGATAGGGAAAACGGCTTTAGCCCAAATAGTTTACAACGACCGTGAGGTGACCGCCTATTTTCAGAAGAAACTATGGGTGTGTGTTTCGGGTCCCTTTGATGAGATGCGGGTTCCTAAAGCTACTCTTGAAGCTCTAACGGGTACTCCCTCGAGTTTCAGTGAATTGAACTCCGTTCTTGAGAAAATTCATGAAAATATAGCGGGAAAAAGGCTCCTACTTGTACTTGATGATGTCTGGAGACAGGATGAGAAGAAGTGGCAATCGTTGAAATACTGTCTCAACAGTGGTGCCGTTCCAGGAAGCAAAATCTTGGTGACCACACGCAAGGATAATGTTGCTACTATAATGGATTGCACCCAAATTTTCCATTTGGGTAGCTTATCTGGAGAAGAGTGTTGGTCCTTATTCAGTCACATAGCTTTTTCTGGAAGGAATAACAGAGAACGTGGGTGCTTGTAAGAAATTGGGAAGAAAATTGCAGATAAGTGTAAGGGTTTGGCACTTGCAGCAAAAACAGTCGGAGGTCTTTTACGTTTTAAAAGATCTAGAGAACAATGGCAAAGAATCTTGGATAGTCGTATGTGGGAGCTTGATGAGGCTGAAAGCGGTCTTTTTTCTCCCTTATTACTAAGCTATTATGATTTGCCATCACCATTAAGGCAATGCTTCTCATATTGTGCCATTTTCCCCAAAGATCATAAGATAGGGAAGGATTTGTTGATCAAATTATGGATGGCTCAAGGTTTTCTTGGAGAAGGAAATGAGATGCAGATTGTTGGCGAAGAGTACTTCGATAACTTAGCAATGCGTTCTTTCTCTCAAGAGTTCGAGATGGATGAAAATGATGATGGCATACTTAGATGTAAAATGCATGATATCGTGCATGAATTTGCTCAACTTTTGAGAAAAGGAGAATGCTCTGTAGTAGTAAGCAATGGTCTTGAAGAGCAAAGAGCTGAATGGTATCATGAAAATGTTCGTCATGTAAGAGTAATTCTTGATGATGAACAGGCTATGATTCCAAGGCCCCTTTATAGTGCTAAAAAGCTTCGTAGCCTCATAGTTGATTCATGTCCTCATAGCACATCAACTCTAAATGCATCTTTGTGGAGAGTATTTGATCAATTGACTTGTCTAAGGATGCTAGACTTGAGCAACAATAGATATCGAAGGCAAACTTCAATTACTGAACTTCCTCACCAAATAGGAAAACTGATATATTTGAGATATCTCAGTTTGGAGGGAAATATAGGATTGGAATATTTTGCCTGAGGTACTGTGTGACTTATGTAACTTACAAACTGTGAACAACAGGTTGTGCTCAAATCTTTAAAAATTACTGTCATAACGTTTCCTCGGGGATCCGTTAGACTTAAAAAATTAATTTCGGGAAAGGCGATGAAATTTAATCCCGAAATTAATTTTGAAAAAGATTTGATTTTGAAGTCTCCACCAACCATTACGTTAGGTAGGTTGGAAACCTTAAACGTCAAAAAATGGACTGTGTTTTACCAAAGATTTGTTTTTAAGAGTTCGAGAGTATGTTACGTGTGGTGAATGATTACCACCCCACAACACCCAAACTTTGGTACCTAAACGATTATTTATTATTTAAATATTTGTAATTACAAACTCGAAAATATATTTAAATTATGATCTTGTTATTTATTCAAATTTATTAAAAAATGTCAATTTTTCAGATTACGAATACCTTTTTGTGTGAACAATCTTCGGGAATGCACTTCCTTTACATTTAGGAGACTTTCCCATAGATTCCCCTCACACAAAAAACATTATTTCACAATTTTCGCAAAGATGAAATAAATCAAAATAAAAGTTAAAAGAGTTGAAAAATAATCAAAATAAATAAACGTGGAACAAAGAGAATTATCGAATATAAAACAAACATTTATGCGAAAAATCCTCGAAAAGATACCTTCCCTTTAGTTGGGAGATATCTTCGTAGGTTTCCCTCACATTGAAATTTTCATTTTTTTTTACATATTTTATAATAACAATGATCATAAAAAAAGTTAATAATTATCTAAATATGCACATAATAAAACAAAAAGAAAATAAAAAATTTCATACAAAGAATGCTTATAACAATTACGTAACGATCGACAAAACAAAGTTATAAATTTGGATTAAAATACACATTTACAAACATGATAAACTAAAATACAAATAAAAAATAGACATGCTTAGTAAAATAAAGGACTAAATAGCAAAAACAGAAATTTACAGGACTAAACAACAAAAACAAAAACTTAAATGAGTAAAATAGTAAAAATAGAAATTTAAAGACTAAAATGGCATTATCAGAAACTAAAATGACTAAACACTAATTACAAAATAAACCAGAGTCCAAATCACAAATGTTAAATAATACAAGAACCAGAAATATAAATAACCCATAAATAATATTAGGACTAAAATAAAATAAACAGAAACATAAAGAGTCGAACCATAATTAAACCAAATGCCAAAACATTGACCAAAATAAAAGATTTACAAATACCATAGCCAAATTCAAACATCAAGGAAAATGTACAAAACATTAAATCAATGACTAAAATGTAATATTAATAAAACGCGAGCTCAAAATAAAAAGAAATAATTGTTCATTAATGGCTAGAATTACATAATACAAAAGAAGAATGACCTAAAGTGGGATTTGCCCTGAATACAAAAACACAGATGGGATAAGGCAAAACGGCAGCGTTTCATATGGAGAATATAAGCCTAAAACATGGGCTAAAATCTCTCATTCTCTCATTTGTTTTTCCCCAAAAAATCAAAGAGAGAGAGAATTATAAAACTCTCTCAAATCCCCTCATCAGAGAGAGAAAGGTGGCCACTGTCGGAAGCGCTCACGGCAACGCATGGCGGCGCACGGTGGCTGGAGGGTGGCCGGAGGGAGTAAAGAACTCCCCGAACATTCTCTTCAACCATCTAAACTCGAAAACCACCCTCACTCAGCCCAAATCCTTCCCTAAAGCCCTAGATCTAAATTATACCTCTAGAAAGTTTCGAACTCCGGCGACCACTCGTCTTCCTGACGTTCCTCCGACCAAGGTATGTTTCTCTTTTCCTCTATTTTTCTTTTTGCGTTTGGTTTGAATGGGAAGAAGGGTTTTTCTTCTCTCGGTTTCTTTCTTTTCTTTCCTCTGTATATTTTTTTTGAACCCGAATGTTCTCCCATATCTCCTCTTTCATCTTTGATTTTATCTTGTATGTCTGACTTCTGTGATGGATTGACTTGAGATGTTCATTATCGAGGAGATAAGCCTCAGGATAGTGGGGATTTGCTTTGATATTTTGTTGATTTTATATTATTTTTCTATGTCTGATTTGCTCTGATTTTCGACTGATTGATAGATTCAGTCACTATGGATGATGGATTGGTTCTAATCATCTCCGATGGCGGCGGCGGCGAGGAGAAGCTCAATTGGGAAGCTGGAATATTGACGCATGGCTACTGTTGAAGTTAGGGTAACAAACCCTAATATGAGTCCATTTAGACCGTTAGATCAAATTTGATCCAACGTGTAGACACAAATTTTCCCCATTTTATTTTAATATTATTATTAATATTATTATTTTAATAATAATAATAATAATATTATTATTATTAATATTATTATAGGCACGAATATAATTACAACTGGAGCCCAAATCTGATCCAGGCCCAGATCAGAGAGATCCAGACTCGGTCAAGGCCCTGTCCAAACCCAAAAAGACCTAAACCCTATTTAGGGTTTATGTTAGGGTTTTTAAACTTTATCTCTAATGATGCCGCCTTGGATCAAGGATGAACAACCGCCACCTCCATTGCTAGGTGTCCCAGCCAACTGATGCCACGACATCGCATCCTCAACCGAAGCCTCCAGAAGGTCTACGCCGACCGCACATGTTGAAGCCCTAGGGTGAGTCACCACTGTAGTTTGGTGACTCACCGAAGACCACCCTATTATCTGGTCTGAAGGGAGCTTTGTGGTAGCCATAAAAGCCACCGAACCTGCAAAGGAAAGAGGACACATATAGCAAGTAAGAACCCAACATCAAAGATATACCAACAACCATTTTAGACCAAAAAAAGAAGACAACAACATTCGAACAACCAACAACCAACCGAGAAACAAAAAAAATGAGAGAAGAACTTACCAGAGCCCAAACGTCGCTAGAACCGGTTGTGTAAACCGAGGTAAAACCTTTAGTTTTTGCTTAGATCTACTGATTTTGAGGGTTTTTAGGAGAAATAAAATCCAGATTCGGCTTTAGGACATTCCAATTTATATTTTGGGGTAGGTTAGAAAATTCCGGCCACCGTGGGTGGTGGCCGGCGACGGCGATCGGCTCCGGAGCAAGACGGTCGGCCGATTACTGGTTTCCCTCCGGCGAGGGAAACCTAGAGAAAGGAAGAGAGAATTTTATCTCTCTTTTTTTAGAGAGAGAAAGAGAAAAAATTGAAAATGAGGGTTGAGGCCCTTTTTGGGGTCGAATTTATGTTTAAATACCCTCTCCATACGTCGTTTTGGGGAGAGGGATGTTTGTGTAATTTCCCTTACGGGAAAATTATGTTCAAAGTCCCTCGAGGTTTTGTAAACTCCCATTTTTGTCACTGAAATCAATTTTTGTACCTTTTAATTAGATCTTTCAATTTTATTTTATTTATATTTTAGTCAGTGCCTTATGTTTAAATATTTAGGGTAAATACTAGATTTAGTCCTTTTAATTTTAATAATTTATATTTTAAGCACATATTAATAATTAAGGATAAATTACATTGTTAGTACCTAGATTTCATAATATTTCAAATTAGGGCCGTGAGTTTTGATATTTTACATTTTAATCCTATTATTTTAATTTTATTTGTTTTAGTCATTATTTAATTGCAATTTATTTTTATTTTTATTATTACCCTTTTAATTTCAATATGTTTAATTTAGTATTTTAAATATTAATTTATTTTTATTTTATTTTAGTTATATAAATATATATATATATTTGATTAAATATATATATTTATTTATTTTTAAATATTAAGAAAGGGACTGTCTTAAAGTAACTAGATGTCATATTTTAATATTTTTAAATAAATAAATAAACTGCCTATTTAATCGAATCAAGTTATTTTAATATGATTTCTTGGGAATAATTATTATATTCTTATTATTTTAGTTAGAAAGAGAAATATTCATCCTAAAATAATTTAGGGATTAGTTTCTCTTCAATTGGAAATATTGGAATATTTTATATTTTTTTCTTAGAGTTATACGATTAGATCTGAAATAATAGGATAATAAATTAAATTTATATTCGAATTCTTATATTTCCACTAATAGAGACTATTTATCATCGACGGGTACCAATCTTGAGCATTATGGGGGTGCTAATCCTTCCCCAAACGTAACCGACTACGAATCCCTTTTTATTACTAAAAAGAATGAATTTTTGGTTATATGCAGACCGATTTATCTTTTAAATAGTTTTTTCTTAAAAACTCTTTTAAAAAGTGATTTTTAGGTATTCAACTTACCTAACCCAAAAGGGTCGATGACAACTCAAAAACATTTTTTTAATAAAAATCATGTATTTATTCACTTGCTTTTTCTCTAAGAAAATTCGTGCCCGGGCGAAAACCGGTTACGACACAACGGTCATGGAGAGAGGTTGTTGGGGAGATACCCTAGATTAGGGTTTAGTTGGGTTGGGTCGGTCTAAACCGGGTCGAGCTCCAGTGGGTTTAAACTTGTAAACGGGTCAAGCTTTTGGGGTTTATATCTGTTAGGTTGTATTGGATTCCAGGGTTGGGCCTCATTTGGCCTGCACAAAAATGTAAACAAAATGATTAATAATAATAATAGTAATAATAATAATAATAAATTAATAAAATAATATTTTTGGTAAATCCGAATAAAAATGGGTGTCTACAATTACCGCTTGGAGTTATAAGGCTAATCAATTTGAGGCATCTTCTACAGACATTAGAAGAGTTTGTAGTGGACCTAGTGGTTAATCATAGGTCCAAACTTGGTGATTTGGGAAGCTTTGCTCATCTTAGAGGGAATCTCAAGATAATAGGACTAGGAGATGTGAGAAGACGAACTGATGCAGAGGAAGCTGGACTTTGGAAGAAGACTGATCTCCGAAATTTGACTCTATCATTTATTTCCATGCGCAAAGATAAAAGATTTCTCGGACATGCATATATTCCTGTATCACCTGCTCTTCAATCATCTGGTCCTGAATCACCTGTTCTTGAAGCCTTACAACTACCTCCGCATCTGGAATATTTGAACATAAATCGCATGTCCAACAGCATTCCCCAGTTGGATGTCGTCGTTGACGATGTTGAGGAGGGTTACACTACACGCTTGTTTTAATTGGAAAACCTTGCCTCCTATGTGGAAATTGCCAGTCCTTGAACATCTAGAGATACGGGAAATGAAGAATGAGAAAGTAGGCCAAGAATTCATGGGAGCAGGGGGGAACATCTTCATCATCAGATAATAACAATATTACCTTCCCCAGCTTGAAACATCTTAAAGTTCAATTTATGGAAGAGTGGCAAGAGTGGAACTATGGGAACCTACTCACTACTATGCCACTTTTTTGTTCCTTGAGAATCAATAGTTGCCTCAAGTTATAGTCGCTGCCCCGCCAACTTCTTCAGAAGACAACTCTGCAAGTATTAGATATCTTCGATTGCCCGATCCTGAAGGAGCGCTGTTTGGGGAATGGGACAGGGGGAGACTGGCCCTACATCTCTCATATCCCCACCATCACAATTGATGGTGAAAGCATACAAAGAGATAGGAATTGATCAAACTCTTCTTGGCTTCAAAGAATCGATATGATAATCTTCATTTTCACGGAGGAAACAATCATATACATTCCATGCTTTGCAAAAAAACTTCATATCCATTTTCAGTTTCCAGGTATGTCTGTAAAGAGTTCTAGTCTTCATTCCCATATGTAACAGCCATTCTATCTTACACATGAAGCAATACATTTAAACAAGCAATTCCGAACATTTATGTTATGCATGACAGTCTTGCACAATTGAAACATTTGTCTGAATCATTTTTACCCCATTGTTATGTAAGTTGCGGAGGCATTTACCGGGATGCTACCAATCTGCTCAAAACCTGATCTTTACAAAATTTTGCAGCATTAAATCAGGTAGCCATGCAACTTCGCATTTGCTTTTCCTTTGTAATCCACAGACAGCTATTATGCATCTATATTTATGTGTAATATGAGACATTTTGCATTCCAAATAATATGTTTGCATCATATTTGAATACATTGTTTTTGAATGAGTGTTCAGTTCTTAGTTATGTTTTTGTTTTGGAAAATTTACTTACAATATTAAAATGCCATTAGCTTTCATTGCTCAAACCCAACACCAATTAGTTAAGGGTTATGCCTTCTGATAATTCCAATCTATATTCATATAATATATCTATGCTTGAAGCCAACCACAGATCAAAGTTGGGAGTTAAAAAGTATGTCTACTGCTTGAACTTGTCATTCTCGTTTTAGTATCGGGTACTTATGTCTGGTACGTGTTTTTGTATATATATATATAAAATGATCTTTCAAATAACTTAAGAATCGTTTGGTTCACGGAATGTAAGATTACTATCGAGAATAAGATTACCGGAATATTACATTACTTAACATATTATTGAGAATGTTGTATTATCTTATTTGGTTTGTTTTACAGTAATAATTACAATGTTTGGAAAAAAGAATATAAGATAAGAAAAATATATATTTTACCAAATTGCCCTTGAAATAGTTTTATTTTTTAACAAATGAAAGTTCATAGAAAATATATTTTTTATTATTTCTAATTTATATATTTTTAACAAATTTATATATAAATAATTTAATATATATTTTTATTACACTTAATTTTTTAATAAAATTTCTACATAAATAATTGAATATTACATAACTTATTGTTGGGTGTGGGTCGCACTATTTGGGGAACTCATCACCTTAAAGAAAGGTTGCATTATAAAAGTGAGTTGCAATCTAAAGTGTGGTGCAACTTAAAAAGTGGTGCAACCCGGAAAAAGTGGTGCAACCTAAAATGTGGTACAACCGTAAAATAAGTTGCAACCTAAAATGACAACGATAAAATAGGTTGTTTGATTGTTGAAAAAAGGTTATGTTATTTTAAGGATAGTTTTGAAAGAGGAGAAAGTAAAACATAAAATTAGGGATTTCTTATAAAAGAAATAATAGTTTTGAAATATTTCTTTTATTTTAAGTGTGTTTTTATCCAATTCGATGAGAATTGTTAAATACCTAAGATATACAAAGGAATGAGATTCCCAAGAATGCAAGGGGGGAAAACACTGTCACAATACTTCTTTACCCCTTGGTGGGAATGTTTTTAAACCAAACGCGGGTATATAATTCCGAAAAAGATTATTTCTCTCTGTAATAATCTTTTCGTTGATCAAAACATCCCTAAAGATCTAACTCTAATAAAAAGAGAGAAAAAAACAGGGTGGGAGCAACCGGTGAACACGACTTAAATGACTGACAAAATTAACCCAATAAACTAGATATGTAAAAACATTAGCCTATTAGGTAATCTCCAAAATTAATTTCAGATCTACAACAACTGCTGCAGTGTAGGGTAAACTCGTCACGATCACATGACGAATTTATTCAAATAATATCTTTTTATTTAAACTAGTCATGTCGAAGTGACGAATTTCAATAAAATATATTTTTATTAAAATGTATCAAGTCGAACTAACAAATTTCAATAAAAAAATATATTTTACTAGAGCTCGTTATACCCACGTGATGAGTTCAAGTAACTGTAACAAACGCCGTAGTTCCCAAAATAAAATATATGAGTTCATATTGAATTAAGTAATTAGCGGGGCCTAATTTTGCCTAAATGACATGCAATACGTAGCAAATTATACTCCCACATGAGCCAGAACAACACATCGTACAAAGTAATACTTACTAGCAATGAGAGAATGAAAAACTTCCATGCAGTCTTTTTCCTGTCATGTTTCTTGCTTCACCGCTTGTGACTTTGAGTTCAACTGAACATGAGAGCATTGTCTGAAACTTATACGAGGAAGCAACACTTGTCTAAAAACCATTAAAAGAAGTGGCGACATTGATCTTCACCGATAGTTGATGATAATATCAACAATTGTTTACATAGTAGTTAGTAATTTTACCATGCCTTTATTAGTACTTAGTATATAGTTCTAATATTAAGGGGCATTTGATTTGTGGAAAAAATCAATAATCTTTTTTGACATATACTTAGTGTGATTTAGGAGCATTTCTTCCGAGTTAATAAAACATTCCCCACTGAAATATTTATTTTTTGAGTTTTTCTTGAGAATATCATTCTCTTTATTTTATTAGGCATATTACATAATTCTCTCCCTTCAAAAAAAAATAATAGAGTTATTTTAAAATGGTCTTTCCTTTTGTATATAATTATACTAATATAAATATTTTATTTATTTAATTTTTAATATTTATTATAAAATAATATGATGTATATAATATAAAAATTATAAAATGTTGTATTTTATTGATTTTTAAGTTTTTGTTGTATGTTTGATTCAAATTTTATTTGGTATGTGTTTTATTGTGTTTATTTTTAGGATTAATTTCCATAAGAGGTTGTCTATACTATTATTTATTTATTTATTTTATTAATTTTGTCAAATAATTTAGTATAATATTTTATTTTACAATTCATACATATAGCATGAATAAATTAAGAAAAACTACATAAATAAACACATATCCAATAGGTATGTACATCTTCAAATGTTTTGATACCTAAATAAAGATATATTTACATTAGTGTAAGTATGTTTATGTAGTTTAAATAAATAGAAAAAATAAAAATAAAAAATATATTAAATTATTTGCGTAAAAAATTTATATATATATATATATAATTATAAATTATAATAAAATATTTTTCATGAACTTTCATATAATGTTTTCACTTAAATATTGTGAATTCAACTTGTTAAAAAAGAAAATATATCTTAAATACAAATTTTACATATCTTATGTTACTCTAATCAGATAGTGTAATCTTACATTCTTATCAAATAAATTAAATAAGGTAACACAACATTCTGATAATCTTATTCCCAAAGATAATCTTACAATATGTGAACCGAGCGGTCCCTAATAGTTTATGATGAATTAAAATATTCAAAAAAATAGTAATCAATTTAGAAAGATCATAATTTTGGGATGTAATTAGAACATTAAACAATCCGGGACCAATTCCGAGTGAGAGTTACAATTTGGGGACAAAATTAAAATATTAAGAATTTTAGGGATTAACATAAAATGAGTTTGGAGGCGTGTGGTGAATTAGCTCCCAAAAAATATTCCTCCTTTCATTAGCGTTGCTTTAGTTTGGGTGATCTGTATTTGTTTGACTAATAAATAAAATGCTCAAAAAAGAGAAAAAAAAGGAAAATCCTTTGCCCCACTCTAAAAGGCAGAAGAAGACGAATAATTGACCCTCTTGGTGCCTCCAAAAGCTCTCTCCGTTGTTGCTGAGGTCTTCTCATCCTTCCAAAGAGCACAACGATCCTTTCTTTCATTGCAAACTCCTAATTGAATCCAAACTCTCCATCTCTTGATTTCCTCATATAATATATATTACTATATAAGTAAGAATGTCGAAGAAGTTCTGAATATTGTAGGCTGATTTTGTTCTGGCATTTTTACAAACACCCAGTGAACAAAAATGGCGCTTCCCTATACCCATCACTATAAGCTTTCTTTCTCTGCTCTGAACTTAAAGAAATCTGGGACTTCGCATTTGCAGCCCATTTGTTGTGTACAGTGCAATTCCAATGTGTCGTCTTCGCCGTTCACGGAGAAACACTCGATGCAGCGGTACCAAAGGGACCAGTGGGTCTACAACAACAGCCATAATAGTCAGCAGCTTCTATCTCTCAACAGTGATGATCAAGTCGCCTCTTGCTCCTTACCTTCTGATGGAGATTCCATTAGGTTAAATGACATCGCTTTGCAGCTGCCGGAGCTCAGGAAGTTGCTTGAAGTTTTGAAGCATAAGAGAGAGAGCCATGGCGGCCAAGTGCCCGAGAATGGACCGGGAAATGTCTTCTTGGTGGGGACTGGGCCTGGAGATCCCGATCTCTTGACGTTAAAAGCTGTCAAAGTCATTCAAAAAGCTGATCTTTTATTGTACGATAGGTTGGTGTCTAATGCTGTATTGGACTTGGTTGGTCCCGATGCCAGGCTTCTATATGTGGGCAAAACTGCAGGCTATCATAGTAGAACTCAGGTAAATTTATTCAATTTATGGGTATGGTTTATGCCAATTAGGTTCCTCTTATTTTTTTTACATGCAATTATGAAAAGATTGAATTTTATTGTTGTTCTTGCAGGAAGAAATCCATGAGTTGCTTCTGAGTTTTGCTGAAGCTGGGGCTAATGTGGTCAGACTTAAAGGAGGGGATCCACTGGTGAGCCATTCCAACAATTACCAACATTTCCCCCTTAAATTAGTAGAAATGCCTTATAAAGTTAAGTTCTTTTCTGGGGTTATTTTGGGAGTAACTCTTGTGATTTTCAGGTATTTGGAAGGGGTGGAGAAGAAATGGACTTCCTGCAGCAGCAAGGGATTCAGGTCAAGGTTATCCCTGGTATGACACTGTACAATAATATTCTATGGTTTGCATTTGCAATTCATGATAGATAATTTCCTTGTTTCGAGGCAAAATATTTGATGATGCTGAAGGGTTGCTGATTGTAAAATTCTGTGATTACATCATTTTTTATGAACATTTTTACTTCTGATTTCATCTCATAAATTTACGAAACTGCTGTTGATCTCTATTGATTTTACATGATGAGGACTTGCCTTAACATATTCCTTTTCGAATAATTTTTTTATCTTAGGGAGGCTTGACTAGGTTTTGAACATTTTCTCAGTGGAAATCCTCGATTTTAAGGGGTTAAGTGTGTTTTGGTGTGTCAAAACAACAATTCAAAGATAGAGGGTAAAGCAGAGTTGTCTTGATCATATGTTCTGCATTCGAGAGGCTGCATTCACATATTATTCTTAGTTAATCATGTTTGAAAATAATTTCTAATGGTACGAAAGATTTTAGAAAGGGAGCCTTTTTCTTTATAGGTTATAACATCTGTTTGAGCAACAATCATATAGGTTCATGCGTTTGAGACAATAACAAAAAGAACTGAACTTGAAGATTTCTTCAATCATGTAGGCCCTATGAGGACTGCTGAGTTCTGGTTTATGAAAGATGTTTGATGTTGACGAAGAATGGAACAGCATATTAGCATAGAACTGTTTGTATGAGAAATGCGGTTTGACATTAACATGCTTGTTGTCTTGCAGGTATACTGCTGCTTCTGGAATATCAGCCGAGCTGGGCATTCCTTTGACCCATAGAGGTGTGGCAATTAGTGTAAGATTTCTCACAGGTCACTCGAGAAAAGGTGGAACAGATCCTCTTTTTGTTGCCGAAAATGCTGCTGACCCTGATTCAACGTTAGTGATTTATATGGGCCTTTCCACCCTCCCTTCTCTTGCCCAAAAGTTGATACATCATGGCCTACCACCAGATACACCAGCCGCTGCAGTTGAGCGAGGAACCACACCTCAACAGCGCACGGTAAGTACAATGTCATGCACGATTTCTTCACAAACATTAACACAACATGAATTATTAATGCTTTCGAGGGATATTCAATAAAACCAGAAATCTTGCATGCTAACCCAGTATGGTTGTTCTTTCATGATGGTACAGGTCTTTGCAGAACTTAAGGATCTTGCCGATAAAATCAAAACAGCAGAGTTGGTGTCGCCGACACTAATCATAATCGGGAAGGTTGTCGCCCTTTCACCATTTTGGCCGCAGTCTTCAAAAGAAGCATCCCGACTTGTTGAAGCCTAACTAAAAGGACATAAAATTCATAGGCTGCTTTTAAGGTGTAAGACAAACCAGCATTTGACACTTCTTGCACTTGTCATGTCAACAAGAAGCAGCCACTAAATTTCAGTGCTAATTTTATTTGTTATTTGTTTTGACCCTTAGGATTTGGATTATGATTTGAGTTCATTGAAAATGTGTTGATTTACCATGAGCTTCAGGAAATTGGGAATAATGTGGAATTATGTACATGTCGCATACAATTACAATATTTCATTCAATCATGTAGTATAGACGTATAAATCAATAATTTTATATTCAGGGTTCGGTTTGGTTCATGCGACCGATTTTAAGACGTATAGCGAAATGGATTAGTCCTCACTAACAAAGACATGGTTAGCTTTAAATATATAACTACAAAAATTCACCTTTGTAATGAAACTTTATCAATAGCCAAAAACGTTGGATGCCAACCCTAATAAAGGATCCAAGGCACTTGGAGCAAACTTCCTTGCAAAAAGATAGCAAATAGTTGATGGCTGATCATTATATAAGCAGGATTGACCTTCAAATATTCTCTTAAAGAAGCCATCAGTAATATCATCTTTCCCGAATGTCGCTGGATGAGCACCGCGCCTTGACCAGTCGGTCCAAGTAAGGGTCCTGTTCGCCAAGAGATGAGGCGATTGGATCGTCAGCATTGTCGGGAAATAGTGCTCATCGACATAACAACCGTGACGGCAGAATTTCTTGAACTTGGGATAATAAGTGATGTCTTTAATTATATCAATCGCAAGCTTTCGGTTGACTTCAAACCATTGAGACCCTTTACGCCATTGGCTAAGTGTGACCTCTGGTCGCATGCGTTTAATGTAGCGCCCTCTCCCATATGGTCCGGGTTCGTCGAACGAGCCCATAAAGCTGTGCTTTGATCTTGATATGTATGATAGATGATGCTAAAATTGACCAGGGGAATGCAAGACTCGGATAGGAGAATGAACCATTCATTTGAGATGTCGAGCAATGCATTGGCGAGGAGTCTCCTCTCTGCCTCGCACATACTCATCTTTCCCCACTCAACAATCTGCAAATAATTTTGAATAAATAATCAAATCATTTAAACAAAAGCCTTCAGGCAGCAAACAATCTGTAGTTTTCCCCTATAGAATTTCGTTTGTTGAAATACAATCATGTTTTAAATGACAAGTCGAACCAGTTATATATGTTGATCACTATGTTACTTGAATCCGAATACGAGTATCACATACAGATATGCATTCAACTCTACTATACCCAAATGTTTTCCGAAGTTTTGTATGTATTTGGAAGGCCTTTGGAGAGTCATATTCCCTTACTCATGTTCAAATATGTATCTGATAAGTGTTTTAGACCCTAAAAGATGCATTCACCCAGAATGCTGCTAGTTCATACTTACAACTAACCCTGTTCCTCTATCACATATATTTATTCGAAAATATTCAAGAAAAAAAATCAGATATTACTCGAACTTGGGTAAAAGAGTAGGACACAAGTAGTGTTGGATATGGATTTGTTTAGTTTTTTCAAAGATTTCCATGTATTTAGAAAATCTTTTAAAGATCATATCCAATATCCATGTCCGAGTATATTTCAAACACGGATACTTTAAAAAAATGAAGAGTCGAAATAATATACTACTATGAAATTGATACCTGACTAGGGATTTGTCTCCTGTAGAAAACTGATGATGGTAGATACCCACCAGTGTAGGATGGTAGTGCATGTATATATATGGAGTAAAGCCCTTCATGTCCCTTGAAGAATCTGTCCCAAAGAGGAGCCATTAGCAATGGCCCCTTGGTCAAGAACATGAAGGCAATTTTGGGGACTCTCTTGAAAGGATACTCCTTGATCCGAGGAACAAACGAAGCTCTCCATAGTAATTCCGTGTCATTCATATCATGCATCGAGTTTGAAGGAGGCCTAATGAAATTTTCCAAGGTATTAGCGGCATCTTCAAACCGAGGCTGAACAGGGGATGGTGCTTTAGCTGCTGCAATCTGCGGGATCATGGAAAATCGTACTGAATACGTACTGGTGATCGATAACCCGACGCCCATGATCAAAAACAACGAACAAAACACAAGGTTCCTCAAGGGAAAAGCCCTGGAGAGGCTCGTTTTGTTTGCAGAAACTGGTTCTTTACCTTCTTCCATGGCCACCAACCTTGGCTGCACCATAACCAAATTTCTGGGTTTTGTATCTCCCCTAAAACCAAACCAAGAAGCACCCTACTGGATCAAAAACTGAACCAGAAGATAACAAAGACAACTTTGAAACACTGTTGTATACAGAAAGGAGATATAAAAAACACAGCAAAACTCTTTTTGACAGGTGTGCAAGTGTGACTAGAAATTCGGTAGAATGAATGACTGTAAGTTCCTGCCGTGATTAGGACTTAGGAGAACATAAACGCAACGTGCGTACACGATGGTGAAGAGATTAGAGATGAAAAAAGAAGGGAACAAAGTTGTTAACGATACGACGGGGATGTGTTCTTTTTTGGTACAAGGTTTAATTTTAAAGGAGAAAGGAACTCTCTGAAGGGAACAAAGTTTTTAACGATACGACGGGGCTGTGTTCTTTTTTGGTAAAAGTTTTAATTTTAAAGGAGAAAGAAACTCTCTGAATAAACATGAGATGGATTCGTAATTCCGACTGTTTTTTGGTCATTGAAGGAGACGGACTTGTATGGGACTTTTCTTCGATGGCTTGACTTCAGCCTACCTCCAGTGTTTGCGTGTTCTATTAACTGGTTTAAAATAAGAGGGTAAACTAACTATTTAGTCACTAAGCCATAGGATATATTCTATTCTTATCACTAAATAAACAATTGTATTAATTAGGCCATTACTGTTTAATTTAAATTAATTTTAACCTATAAAAAAATAATTTTCATTAGGATGATAATAATCCATATTAATACATTCAATTAATTTAATCATAATTCTATATGATTAAAAAGGTTCTAAATTTATAAAATTTATTAATTTAGTCTCAAAATCAAACTAAACCAAATCGTTTGAAGTCCAAAACAACTCCTCCATCCTCTTCTCAACCACCACCAACAATCCATCCCCCCATCATCAGCTTATATGTCGACACCAATTTATTATTCCCGAGTATTTCTGTAGTTGCCTTCATCCAAACCTGCATCGTAACCGAGTAACTATTTGGAGCAGGTTTTGATGAAGGTAACGGCAAAGGTGCTCAAGTAATTATTTGGTGCAGGTTTTGATGAAGGTAACGGCAAAGGTGCTCGAGAACAACGGATTGAACTTGGCTTAGAAGCCGGTGATGGAGAACGGGTTTGTGGCAAAGGGGGTGAAGGAGTTGTTTTGTATTTAGATGATTTTGGTTTGACTTTGAGATTCAAATAATAAATTTTGTATATTTAGAGATTAATTCTATCAAATTATCTAATCAAGTTAAAATTAATAAAGTTTCTATTATTTTTGTTAAATTATCTAAAATTAGAACTAAACTAATTGAATGTGTAGTAAATATGAAGGACTAAAATTGTTATTATTCTAATAAAAAACATTATTGACAAATTTTGTTTGGTGATGAGAATAAAATCACTCCATAGTTTAGTGACAAAATAATCAAATATATATATATATATATATCAACAGATACCATTTTATGTTTAATCAACTCTAATTCCAGCTCCCGGACCACAATGTTGAATGATTGATAGAAGAGTAAATTTCAACTTTTTAGTGATGGGAATGATTCGGATACAAGCAATACAATGTTCAATCAACAGATACCAGTATCATCGTTTTCTTGAACCAAAAAGAGGCTACAAACTAAGAACAATGTAATGCTAATGAAGCCAGAAATGTTCTCAACATACTTCCAAAAATCCTACAATGCAGGATTCTAAAAGGTCCAGCCTCACTTCTCGGAAGAGTTGGGTCCTCGCTTCTTGCCGAAACCGACAACTGCCAAAACAGCAAACAAGCAAAACGGTCAGTCACAGGCTCGACATGATCAAAATTGCAGGAGGAAACACAAGCATAAGCCTTCTTCAAACAAGCAATTCTCAAAAGAATTAAAGATGAAGGACAATAGATGTATATGAACCCGATGATCGCTAGTCTTCTCTGGTTCATATAACATGAATGAAATTCGAGCTATTAGAATCGTAAAATGTTGTTTAGGAACTTATTTATATGATTATTGTGTTTATACAAACATATAATAATTCCAAAGAAGTAAATTCACTGGTTTGTTAATTGTTGTTTTTTTTTAATGTACTAATTCTATGATAAATTATATATTGATGAGATCGCTAATATTACTGAATTGGATAGAGCAATCTTAGTAACAATGACTGATAATTAATAGCAAAAATTCAGTGTCAAGGCACCATATTCAACTTGTTTGAGAATAAATTCATTCATGAAGGTAGGTTGAACATATGACATATAATCAACGTTAAAAGACAAAAGGAAACGAGTCAGACGAGCAAACAAGAACTAAATCACTAATAACTCTAATAGTTGGTCCAATAAACCAGCGATTTCATCATTGAAATGAGTCGTTACTATTAGAGGAACAATCAAAAGGATTAAGAACTAATCGAACTGGACTGAACAAAACCGATCAAATTCAATTAACAGCACAATTTGAACATTGTAAAGATCAGAAACAATAAATTTATAAACAACAAAAGGAGATAAACTAACCGGCGGTGACGAAACGGCGGTTGTACTGCATCCGCTTATAGGCTCGGCCTCTAGGCTTCTTCTTCTTGTCTTGCTTGGCTACTTTTGGAGTTTGCCCTCTGACTTTCCCTGCACGTGCCAACGATCCGTGGACCTTACCTGTAAACCAATCACCATCATCGATCAAAAAACAAAACAAAATAAAATAAAAATAATTGGAAAGAAAATGATATCATAAGCCTAGGGTTTACCCATTTTGTGATTGTAGCTGCTGCTCTGTAGTCTGATTACAGGTGGTGAGTGATAATGGCGACTTCCGCTCAGGGTTAGGGGTTTTTTTTTTTCCAGGTATTTATTAGAGAACAAAATGAATCGTCTTAAAAACCCATTTGGGCCTCTAAAGTGTAGCATACAGCTCGTTACACAGATTGCGTTGGGCTTTTTATAGTCTACAATCGTTTATAGTATTTCCATGTTTATTTATGATTTACGTCCGTAAATATTTTTAAAGATAATCATTTTTGATTAAGATTAAATTAGTCGATCAAATTAAATGAATTTATTTAAACAATTGATATGTGTCGTAACCGGTTTTCGTCCGGGCACGAAATTTTAAATACTTGGCGGGAAAAGTGATGTGAATAAATGGTTTTAAAAATAATTTGGAGTCGCCATCGGCCTTTTGGGTCAGGTAGGTCGAATACCTAAAAATTATCTTTTAAAAGTGTTTTTAAGAAAACATCAGTTAAAAGATGAACTGATCTGCGTTTATAACCAAAAATTCGTTCTTTTTATTAATAGAAAGGATTCGTGGTCGGTTACGTTTAGGGAAGGATTAACACCCCTACAACGCCCAAAATTGGTACTTTTTAATTATAAATTGTCTCTATTATTGGAAATTTAAAAATTCAAAGATATATTTAATTCATAATTCTGTTATTTCAAATAATTTTAAGAAAATATATTAATATACATAAATAAGATATTTATATATTTAGAAATATCAGAAAAGGGCTTCTAGGTACTTTAAAACAGCTCTTTTCTTCGATATAAATAAATAACTAAAAATATAATAATTTAATAATTTAAATAAAACTAAATTATAATTTTTTTATAATATTTAATTATTTAAAATACCAGAATAGAACATCCAGTTATATTAAGACTGTCATTTTCTTCGATATTAAAAATAAATAAACATTATTATTTAAACAAATATATATATATATATATATATATATATATATATATATATGACTAAGATTAAATAAAAATAAAATGAAATATAATAACTAAAGTATAATAATAGATATAAATTTGCAATTAGATAATAATCAAATAAAATAATTAAAATTATAACAATAAATTTAAAAAAAATAAATAAACTTATGGTACAAAAAAACTAATATATATCAGTAATTAAAATGTAAAATACCAAAATTAAAGGCTCTAATTCAAAATATTATGAAATTTATATAATATTAGTGTAATTTAATTTTAATTATTAACCAATGATTAAAATATAAATTATTAAAATCTGAGAGACTAAATCTGTTATTTACCATAAATATATACATTTACTGATAATGACTAAATTATAAATAAAATAAAATTAGAAGATCGAATTAAAAAGTATAGGAATTGATTTTAGTGACCAAAATAGAAATTTACAAAGCTAGGATGACTACGCGAGTGGTTTGACCGTGCGCGAAATTACAGATATACCCCTACCCAAAACGGCGTCGTTTGGGAGGAGTATATAAGACAAAATGGCTGGCCCATAGGGCCAGCATCCCTCATTTACTCTCTTCTTCGTCTCTCTCTAACTGAGAGAGTTTATAAAACTCTCTCGCCTCTCTCTAACTTCCTCTAACCAGAGGGAATTCCGGCAGTCGCCGGACACCGTACTCCGGTGTCGGTCTCCATCACCGGCCACCGTTAATGGTGGCCGGAAAATTACATATATACCTTAAATCGAAGCCATGCTTTCCCTAAAGCCAAATCCGAGGGTATTTTAACCTAGATCATTACCAAAATATGTAGATCTAAGGTTCTTTACCTTCGACCTTTCGGTTTCAAAGATGTAGGGAGGCTCTGATGACGGCAGTTCCCTTGGTAAGTCTCCTTTCCTCTTCTCCTTCTTTATTTGGTTGCTGTTGGGTGTTGATTTGCTCTCGTGTCTATAGTTCTTGCTCTGGTTGTTCGTATCTCTTTCTCTGTCTCTTTTTTTTTCTTTTCTGCTTTCTGTCCTCTCTCCCCCTTTTGTTTTGCAGGATCCGGTGGCTTTTATAGCCACCACCGAGCCATGCTAGGACCGATCTAGAGGGGGAAGTTCGGTGAGTCACCGAGCTATGTGGTGACTCACCCCATAGCCGTGACATGTGGGGAGCAGCTGGCCTTCTGGAGACTTCTGGCGAGGGCGGCGACAGCTAGAACGTCTGGAAGTAACGGCGGCAGCCACGTGGTTGTTCTGGAATCTTGGAGGCAGCTGGGGATCACTGGAAGCAGCGGTTGGGAGCTAGGGTTTGAAAACCTAGCTAAAACCCTAAATCAGTTTAGGGTTTCTATTTGGGTATGGGTCGATTCTGGTTGGGCCTGGGATTTGGGCTTGTAAACGGGCTTCCAGTTTTGTAATTTATTTATATAATAATAATAATAATATATATTAATAATAATAATAAAATTAATAATTTTAATTTTAATGAAAGTGAAAAATTAATGTCTTCAGCTGCCCCTCTTTGATCATTCTTGTGTTAACAAGAATAGAGCAAAGACGAAAAAGACAATAATTTTTCATTCGGCTTATTTTAAGTAATATGGAAATGTTGAAAACATCATGCACTAAAGGGCTTACAGATGATCCTAAGGTTTTGAAAACATCAAAAAGCTCCCGAAGGTTTTTTTGGAAACATCATGCACTGCAGGACTTACAGATGACCCTAAGGTTTTGAAAACATCAAAAAGCTCCCGAAGGCTTTTTGGAAACATCATGCACTGCAGGACTTACAGATGACCCTAAGGCTTTGAAAACATCAAAAAAAATCCCGAAGGCTTTTTGGAAACATCATGCACTGAAGGACTTACAGATGACCCTAAGGCTTTGAAAACATCAAAAAGCTCCCGAAGGCTTTTTGGAAACATCATGCACTGAAGGACTTACAGATGACCCTAAGGCTTTGAAAACATCAAAAAGATCCCGAAGGCTTTTTGGAAACATCATGCGCTGAAGGACTTACAGATGACCCTAAGGCTTTGAAAACATCAAAAAGCTCCCGAAGGCTTTTTGGAAACATCATGCACTGAAGGACGTACAGATGACCCTAAGGCTTTGAAAACATCAAAAAGATCCCGAAGGCTTTTTGGAAACATCATGCACTGAATGACTTACAGATGACCCTAAGGCTTTGAAAACATCAAAAAGATCCCGAAGGCTTTTTGGAAACATCATGCACTGAAGACTTACAGATGACCTAAGGCTTTGAAAACATCAAAAAGCTCCCGAAGGCTTTTTGGAAACATCATGCACTGAAGGACTTACAGATGACCCTAAGGCTTTGAAAACATCAAAAAGATCCCGAAGGCTTTTTGGAAACATCATGCACTGAAGGACTTACAGATGACCCTAAGGCTTTGAAAACATCAAAAAGATCCCGAAGGCTTTTTGGAAACATCATGCGCTGAAGGACTTACAGATGACCCTAAGGCTTTGAAAACATCAAAAAGCTCCCGAAGGCTTTTTGGAAACATCATGCACTGAAGGATTTACAGATGTGGGAAATAGTTTACTAAGTAAAAAAAAACTAAGGAAATCGTTTTCTTACTTTTCAACAATTTCATTTTTAGAAAAGATTGAATGAGAAACTATGGAAATTGTTTTCTCATTATTTTTCAAAATAACATGTTGATTGGGTAAAATGCCCCAATCTCTAGATAATGCTCATTTTTGTGGATTGCATCCATCTTCTTCAAATGTTTGCATAATTCCTGTATTTATGGTTTTGAATACATTCTTCGTGTAAGGTATTTTTTATCATGAATCTTCTTGTTCTTCTGAAGATCTGTAAAACTTCATGTTTGAATGCACTCAGATGTATCAATGTAATGTATTTTCTATTGTGTAAATGATATTCTTATGAATGCATGAATGTTGATGCAATCTTCATTTGACTTCAAAGTGGTGAACTAGGTATTCCTTCACTTCATCATTTACTTCCAGGGCCACCTCTGGATATCAGTGTAGAAACTTATGCTATCAAGCTTGCATTTCTGTAGAATCATCTGATCAACTTATATCTTTGCGTCTTCTTAACTTCATTTAAGTCTCAGAAGAAATGTTTCATTTATAGAACTCTTGCCGTAGTCAGAAGTATGACCCTGATGCCCCATTTTGTCTTGGATAAAACCAACTTTATTTGCTTGGACTTGTGTATAAATCCCATAAAGCTTTCATCTTTGAAAAGAGAATATATCATCTTTAAGAAGAGAATCTATAATCTTTGAAGAGTGTAGATGTAGATATGCCTGACTCAGCAGGGATTAATTAGGAGAGTAGAGTTTGTTCCAATTTAACTTTTGAAACACATCACAAGGAAGATTTATCCTAATTCCTTTCATGTCTCCACATCTAATCCAATCTCGAATACGGCAACTTGGACCATATCATGTCGAGATGTTTAACAACATCCTGTCGTTCAACATTAGTTGGTGCCATTAGTTTCTTGTTGTTAAAATTTCAGCTCTCCTTCTGTGGAAAGAAATCCTCATCATATCTCACTTTTAATCTTGAAGTTGAAGAAGACAGACTTCATCTTGGATCAATAAATGGAAACCATATGATTACAACATTTGTTCAACATCAGAATAGCAGGTTCGTAAAACATTTGAAAGCTCATTCATCCTCTCCTGTGGCTTCTGCTCAGATGTTCGTAAAACATTTGACCACACATTCATCCTTTCTTGTGGTTTCTGCTCAGACGTTCGTAAGACATTTGACAACACATTCATCCTTTCTTGTGGCTTCTGCCAAGATTTCTCAATCATTGAAGCTCTTTGTCTAATGTTCAAAGCTTTTGAATGAGGTCACAAGACCATTTGAGAACGAAACTCAGTGGGGATTCAAGTGTAATGTTGGTATGACCAAAAAGTTGGTCAAATTCACAAAATGTGCTGGTGTATTTTGAATAGGAGATACCAACAAATTTTGATATCATCTCTGGAAAAGGCAAATGTGATACTGATCATTCTTTCTTTCATAATGAGCATTGTAGAAAGTAGAAACACTTCAGCTATAGGATCAATGTACAGAAAGATATCCGTGGAATTCTTGCAGCTGGGG